TTTATTTAGCAAGCGTTGTGAAATTTTCCAGATACTTCACTGTTCGGTTTTAAGGCAGCCTGAAAGTATGCAACACCATTTGCCCGTGGCAATGGAGATGCAAAAAATATTGCACATACGACCCGTCGGCCCAGGCCGACAACATAAAATGCAACAAAATGCAAGCTGCAAATGCCGCACATGCCTGTCAGCCGACCGAAGAGCCACTCCAAGTTGCAACCGCCACCTGCTGCAACATTGTAAATTACATCCTTCGGGCTGAGACAGGAATTACAAGCTTTTTGCGCTGAATCGTGGGCCGCATGGCAAGGAGAAGGCACAAGGAACATGTCCTTGCCAAGGATTTGAAAGTTGGCGATTTTAGCGCGTAGCCTTGAAGTGGATTCCTCTTGGAGCCGCAGTTTGTGTGAGGCTTAGTCGGACGATCTACTCGGTGGGATGCTTTGTTTGCATTCACTTTGATTTTATAGCCCATTCAATACGGAGATATATTTGAAAGGTTTTTTATATTTATCCAAACAGAACATTCGCTTATGTACAGAGGAGATATTTGGGATGATGTGGGTCACATTTTTACATTTTTTAGCCCTAAGCCACTTTTTTAACATATTTCTTGCTGTTCAATATTCTCTTATGCTGTGTTTCCGTAATATTTGACATCATTTTATTTAAATTGTTTTTGTTAGGGAGCTTAAAATAAAAAGTTTATATTATACTCTTGACAAATTTAATATCAATGATGGTTTTAAAATCCTTTAAAGGAAGATTTTTTATTTATTTAAATGTTTTTAGCACCACTTTTTTAATTTAATCAAATCATTATAATGTTCAGTATCAGAAAGGGGAATTTTTTCATGAGTTGACAAAAAATCGTTCTATTTGATAATGGCATGGTTTTATCTTATTCCCATCACCACAAACAGTAAATACATCAACTTCTCTGACACGGGCCATCATCACCTAGCTGGAACAAATAAAATCCATCGGGCGTAAGAAAAGAAGCCGCATCTGAACAAATTGGTGACAATACGACAACGGAAAAGAAAACAATGAAAGTGCCCGTGGCCACCGCATTTGCTAATGGCGACACTGAAAGGATGGAGCCGGGAATGGGAAAAAAGGCGTCCTGGCAGCGCATTAATCAAGGTGCAGTCAATGGAGCCTTTGGTGTCATGCGGTGGCGAAAAAAGGAAGCCAAATTGGCAACAGACGCTTAAGGTAATAGACGTGCCAACGAAGTCGACCTGCGGGGCACGTATTCTCCTGTGTCCCCCATAGTTTTCTTGGGTCTTCTGGAGGGGGAACACAGCTGCTTATTTGGTTTTCTGTGCGTGTCGCTGGCACGATGCTCGTAAATAATGTCCTGGCTAAGACAAAAGCCGTAGCCAGTCAACTCAACAGTCTGCCGTTGACATCGAGAACTTATTTTCCAGCCAGCTCTTTTAGCTATCCTTTTCCCATTCGCTTGGGTTGACACTTTTTTAGAGGGTAATCATAGGATAAACGGGTATATTGCATGGGTCTATAGGTATATTATTTGTCTAGTTTAAACATCCCAGCTTCAGCGCACCTAATTTTTCTTCAAGGTTTTAGGTTTTGCTTTCTCAAGGAGGCCAAATATTTTCAGATACTTTATTAAGGAAGAGGTATCCTTTAGTTTAATGCTTATATATTTTTGTATTTTTTCCTTTTTCAGCATGTGGTTTGGCTTCTTGCTGCCTTTACTTCGATTCTAAGGCACGAAAGCCAATCAGCTATAAGACCCAAAACGCTTAAGCTTTCAAGTTTAATAATGGCAAAATAGTATGGAATGTCCCCTTATGGATTCTTCATAAAAGCAAAATGTGTGGGTAAATGGTTAAACTATTTTCAGATGATATAAACATATTTTTGTTTTTAGAGAACTAACAATATCCTTACTTCAAAAATATTCCTGTTATATTTCAAATGTATTTAAATCGCGTTATTCTCAAGGAGGAATACTGTTGATGTCAACATGTTGATCCCATAAAACACTTAACTTGCCAATCGATTAAGAAAAGTGTCTTGCTAACATGAATATTGAATTTGTAGCGCGTCGCTATCAATTTCCTATTAAACGGTGATTTGCTCTAGCTATGCAAAGTGCAAAGCCCCAGGGTAGGGCAATCAAGAGATAGATCCCAAAAATCTGTATCCGTAATGTGCATATTTTAGCAATAAAACGCTGACACTGCCCCAGGCGCGTATTCACTGTCAAAGTAATTTGCATACATCTCTTTGCTGGTTGCAATTTTTTGCTTGGCTTTATCTTTGGGGGCCAATTTCGCGAAATTCTCGCTTTTACCAGAGCCTCTGTTGTTGTCACCTTCGACCCCAGCATGCAAATTCTGCAGGGGGTCGACGGGGTCTATTGTCGGGGATATTTCGTCTTGTGTTGAATGGCATAAATCTCATATCGGCTGAGCCTGAGATATACTCGTGTACACACATGCCGGCACGATGATGAATGCAAACTCATAAACAGATGGCTTGGTCGAGGAGACACTGAGGAATGGTGGCCGCATAATAAGCCAGACTGCCAACAAAATGCAGATTCATCGCCACATGCAGATACAGATACAAATTCTGATGCTGCTATGCCATTTCTCAGAGGTGTGTGTACCGGAATTCTCATTTCGCATGCAAGTTGCATTCATTTGAATTTCTATTTCTATTTGTCTGATTTGCCTCGGTGGTGACGGGTTTTTTTCCAACGGGATTATGATTTCTGTGGCACATGTCTGCATTATTCTGGAATTTTTAATGAAAACACGGGGACCGATGCTGAATTCTTGGGTACAATAAAAAAAACGTTGAACGTCGAAGAATGATACAGAATTTTTAACAGCTCTCTGAATTCTGTGATTGGATTTAATACCCCTATTTACCTTTAGCAAACATTATAAAACATGAAACACAACCGACCGAAATTATTGCTCACATAGTGAGAGGGTTAAACTTTTTGGTGTTTTATTGCATAACCCAGTAACCCCCGAAATTGGTTTGTTTATCTTGCATTGGCCCACACTCGCCCACAGTCGAATCAATTTACAACTTTTCAGTCAATCACAAACCAATCAGAGTGCAAAATATGAGCACAATCACATCAAGCCAATTGTGAGTCGTTTTAGTACACTTAGGTGTGCACTTGGAGAAAATTAATTGCCGTTTCATGGTAATGGAAAAACTTTAATGGCCGTTTTCGCGCCCGAATGTTAAAGTAAAAGGTTTTAAACCTAGGAAAGGTATGGCACTCTGGAGTTTAAAAGCTACTTTGAGTTTAAGTTGCTTTAAAAATTCCAACAATCATCTTGGAAATGTAAATACTGCCTTTTATGGGTAGAACTACACAAAATTAATCAATTGCAAAACATAAAGTTAACATTAAGTCAAACAAAAATGGAACACTTTTTCAAGGAATTATCCTGAAGACAAATATTTTTTTTAGTCCTTTTGATTCATTCAGCTATAAACTATATTTAATACATTTTTTAAGGAAAGACTGGGGAGCCACGGGTATTTTTTTCAGTGTTATGGGACACGGGCTCACTGGGGACGCTTTGTGGCCTGGACGGCGCCATCAAGAGCCAGCCAGGCGGCTCTCAACTGGCAGCTGAATAAACAGCATCAACAACAACTGCAAGGGATCGAATGGAATGGTATAGTATGGTATGGTGGAATGGCTTTTTGAGGGTATGGGACCGTGTTGAATACCGTCTCATCGACACTTTTTCATTGAATTCAATTAAAAGCGAAATTGAAAATTGAAATTCAATTAAGATGCTATAAATACGCCAGATGGGGTGTTAGGGTGTCAATCGGGGGCACAGAGGATAGAGGATACAGTAAAAGCATTCCTGGATAGAAAGGACTCATGCCAATGATGATAGATGAGCTGCCAGTGGCTGGTGAAAGTGGATGAAAGTGATTCTCATTGGCCCCCGGAATCGATCGATGTATCGATGAGGAGGACAGAACGAGTCTGGTGATATGTGACATTGCCTTTTTCATTTTAACTTTCTCTTCTGCCTTTTCTTTTTCCTGACATTTAATGGGCCATCAACACGTTGCTTTCCCAATTTGATATCGGGGTATTAATGACATATAAATTGATGCTGCAATCAATCAAAAATGGAACCACCATATGGAGCTCTAAGATAATGAAGTCTGGGAAAACAATACACTAATCTGATTAGCCCCATTAGTAGGCATCAGTATAATAATGCCCTTCATCATTTCTAAAAAAATATTGTCTTTAGGGAATCTAATCAATTTTGGTTTGTTGCGGAAAGCTTATTCGACAAGGCCTAATTGGGGATGAAAAGTTGAAAAGTTTAAAAATATTACTTAAATTAAAAGCAAAAAGGAAGGTTTTATTTCGTTTATGTTTAATAAATGGAGTTGTTATATTCAGTAACTCTTATTAACTCTACAATTTTAACCTAGGTAATTACTATTTAATTTATCTGCATCAGTAAACTTTTTAATTGGCTAAGCCCCTTATAAGTAAACTAAAACCTTCTTAACACCCCATTTAGTCTACAATAGGTGTTTCCTTTATTAATCTAGATACCAAGCCCAACACATCATCCTTTTCTGCCAGTCGATTGGAAGAATACTTTTTAGACGGCTGCTGCTTTCAATTAACGCATTAAACAAGAAACGGCAATAAAAAAGGCAACCATTTGGCTTTACTCAGTGGAGGATGTGCAAAAAAGGCCAAGGGACTTTGTCTAACTTTCTGAAAAGCTAAAGTTTCTTGGGGGAGGGTCGAGGTCGTCTGAAACTTTGTTGAAAAAGATGGACTGCATTGACCTAAAACCGGAGGAGATGCAACGATTAAGTTTCGCCAGCTGATGGGCGAAAGACCCCGGAATAATCAGTGAAGACTTAAATTTTAAGGAGCTTTGAAGTTTAAAGTGGCAAGAATTGTTTGTCAAATATGAGGCTGTTTTTGGGAATTTATTTATTTTTGTTTGATGCCATTTATAAGGAAGCTGATCAGAAGAAAATTTTGCTTTTGTCTCTCCCTGACTTCCGGGTGCATCATCATTTCATTCTACACCTTGTTTTTCGGATTCCTCAACGCGGGTACCACTGTCGATGAAGTCATATACAGAGAAAGTAAGTTTAAGAGAGCAGTACGAAAAAGTTTGACTTCATTTGGACTCCCAAAATGACAGCATTTAAAACTGATGTATGGGCAAAATGGTTCAATGTTTTCCACATAGCTCTGATGATTGCAGCTGCAGTTGTCCTGCTGATATCTGTTATGACGGTGAGCCACAAATCCTCATATGGATCCTTATTGAACTCTTAACTCGCTTTAGAAATATATAAAGGTGGTTTTCATATGGATGGCAATGTTCATCATCCACATGATATCCTACTACATCGTCTTCAATGCCTTGGTAAACGTTCGCAACCCGTTTTTCTCTAGTGCTCTGTCTGCATTCTTGTATGTCCTGGTAAATCTTGTGACGTTAGGTAATGTCTATATATAAAAATTTTAAGCTCCTGTGAATAATTGTTATACCTCATAGCCATAGATATATTTTGCCTGATCAAAGTCTATTCATATTATTACGTGAAAAAGCATCCAGATGAATTCAGACCGCCATGTGTTGACAACTAAGAATTAAAAGAAGCATCCTAAAAGATAATAAAAATAATATCAACGATTTGCCGAGTTTATATTTAATGGATTTTGAAGGTAATATATTTTATAATATAATAACATATTTTATGCCGATCAGTGTCTGTTGCCACATGTTTAAAAGTGTGGATAACGTTGTTGCTGTGCTAATATGGCAGACTCAATTTTCCTTATAATTTCATTAGCATCTTGATGAGAACTGAAAATGATTCCACGCGTGCCTGCCACACACAAGCCCACATACAGCAGGAAATTCTAGGCTAATGCTAATGAGGCCATAATACAAATTGCTTAAATTGAAATTATGCAAAAAAGTTAATACTCTCGTTCAAGAGGATATGGCGGAAAATGAGGAGGCAATTTCGCTTGAGTTTGGCACCAACAGCTGGGAAAGCAATCCAACAATCTTCGCATGAAACTTCTGCAATGTTAATAAATTACGTATACGCCATGTGGTAGACAGTAATTCATTTTTTACAAAATAAAAGAAAGGATTATTTTCCATGTTTGAAATAATGTCCCTACTCTTTAACTTTCAAATGAAAAAATTATACAAAAGCGTGAAATGTTATTTCGGCATAACATGCAATGCAAGAATCTTTAATTAAATCATTCCGATATTAAATTACATTAATTTTATAAGCCAACTAATCATGTCCTTCTGTCTTAAACCATTCAATGTTAAATAAAGGAATCAAATATTTTTTTAAGTAACGTATACAATTGTTTTCTGATTAGGTATCTTTGCATTTTCTGTCAAAACATCTCAAATTATGATTACGGCCAAAAAATGTTGCTTCTGTATATCTTTGCAAACGGGTTGTATAATGCTTGCTCTGGTTGGAATATTTTTGTCTGGCATGAACATTGACTATATAATGTATCTATTAAATAGTAAATAAATACCAATACCCAGTATACATTTTTAAATTTATTAATATCAAAATATAGTATTAGATTTGTATTTATATATTAATTCAAATGTTTTAATAGGAACTTATTCCCGAGAAACCCAATATAAATTTCCAGGTAACACATGAAGTTGTAATAAAAATTTATTTAATTTCAGCATTTGTTTTATTTTTAATGTTTAGAGCAAGTACTATACACCTGCTTACAACTGATTCCAGATTTGCTGTCTGTCTTGGCATCGTGTCTGCTGCTGATTTCGATCATATCCGTAAGATTCACAAAATCTGATTTCCAGTTATTAACGAAGAATATTCTAGCAATACTTTTGGCTGTTTTGGACAACGCTTTTTATTCAAGCCCTTCAAGCGGTGTACCTTGTTGTATTCAGTATCATTTCATCGATAATCGGATTTAATGCAATAATTAACGAGAGCTTTTGGCATAATATCACCTATTGGATCTATGTGGTACTTTGGCTGGGTAAGTTAAATTGAATTGTGTATATACAAAAGCTATTAATGGCAATCTTTTCTTTACTTTAGCTTTGACACTATATTTTATGTACATAATTTATTCGTACTATCGACAGCTAAAGGAGAGAGAAACTGAAAATGCTGTAGAATGATTGGAGCTATAAACATTCACTACTTTTCTTGACTAACAATTAATTTATGTTTTATCTGAAAGCAAATACAATATCAATAAAAAAATATAAACCAAATTGATGTCTGTAACTGTATAACACTGGATTTATCGTCATTTACACACAAACGGAATCGATAAATTTAAATGTAGATGGAAAAAATTTAAAATAATGTGGAGAGCGCAAAAGTTTTGCTGTTGTATAAGCTTTCAAATTGGCTGCGCAATCGTATCATTTGTAACCTTTTCTTTGTGTATCGTGCACCTGGTTGAATTCTTCAGTAAGTAACGATAAAAACTATTGAAAGAAAATTTTTGCAGGTTTTTATTATAAAGTTATATTTTGCAGGAGTACAGGATATTGGTGTTGCTTATGCATCAGGTAAAATACAAAATATTCAGATCATTTTTAAAGAAAACCTTTCCATTCCGGATTTTAGACTGGATAAATGTTCTTTGGGGAATGTTACATTTGGTGGCCGCTATGTGTTTATCATATTCTGTTCTGGTGGTAAGTGTAAAGAAATAACATATTTGAATAGACGTTTCTTAACTGATTGTACATTTAGCAGAGAGCTCTCATCTCTATTTTGATTTACATAATAATCGAGGCGGCTTACGTGATTTACGTGATTATTTATACCTCGGTATCCTGTGCTTTGGGAACAAATACCTATGCAAACTATAGTCTCACGTACAGTATTGTATTGTGGATATTTGTAGTCCTAATTTGCGGTAATATCTAAAATAACATCTAGGCCCGTTGATTTTAATCGTAGATCTTTTTTAATAGTGATAACCATGTATTTTCTTTACATTGTAACATCATATTATTTCCTTAGAAGGCAACAGCGCAATGATGAAAATCAAAAGGTTTAGCACAAATTTAAGATGTTTCCCAAAAGTATACCCTCAATAAAAAGATTATAAGGATTCCTGGAATTTATTTTATTCAATCATATTTATTTTTTTAAACTACTATTTTATTTTTAATTTATAAAAAAGTATTGGCAAACTATGGTTCTTTACATGATAAAGTAAGCGGAGAACTATTCATCATAATTTCTCTAAGTTTATCAAGTAGGAAGAGGGCAACAAGTCAAAAATTAAAAAAAAAAAAATGAATAAATTAAAATTGTTGTTGGAAATCCTATTCATTTGTTTTCTTCTCAAAGGTACCACCCCATTAGACCAGAGATATAAAAAAGAGCATAGAGAGAGTTACTCTCTAGGTAAATGACTGAAATATTTAATTTTTATATGTATTTATTTATTTTTTTGCGCAGCTCATGGCCACATACAGTTTCCTATTTGTAAAAATTGTTCCCATATAATAAACGTGCATGGCACTCCTGGATTCTTTTGCCATTACCAAGATGGAGTCGTTGAAAATAGGTCTGGAGTTAAACAAAATCATTCAGAATGCGTACCCAAGAAATTCATGGTTAATCGTGAGTCTAAAATTACAAATTAAACATCGGTTAGCATCGCTTACATCCAAGAATAGGTAAAATAGATAATTACTGCTGCTTTTGGTCACCGGAAGTGGGTTGTTCAATGCTAATCGGTAGGCAAGTCTTCGATGAAGACATCGACTCTTGCGAGGCTTGTTCACTATCTTGCGCCGGACTAAAAAGTAATCTTGAATCGAACGGAAGTAATAAGATCTCGGAATATGGATATTTAGTTCCGCTTTCTTTGTTCGGACTGTGGATAAGATCAAATGACCAAAATGACTAAGAATAATATCAAGCAAGTTTGTTTATGTATTCGGAATAAAACGACGAAGCACTTCTATTTTACTTTCTGCACTAGGAACCATCATTCGGGGTTGCCAATATTATTGATATTTATATAATCTTGGACCTATGTACCACTTAATAATTCAGAAACCTAAAAACGGGCTTACAATCAACTAATTTTCGATTAATTAAAATAAAATTCTACATGTTAAAAAAATGTATTGACATTTTGCGGAAAAATATGTTCGTTAAGTAGGCAGGGACAAACTTTTTAAAAAATTATCTATCCAGTTATTCGAAAAAATGAAATTTCTTGTAGTAATACTTTGCATTGCATTGGGTGTCGAGGGCGCTATTCCAAAAGATTGGCATCCATATAAGACAGGTAAATGTATAAAGTATTTTATATCCAAATTCTACCATTTTAAATTTCGTCTAAAAGCCATTTTGGGAATAAATTTTCCTATGTGCGCGAATTGTTCAGATATAAAAAACTTTCGAGCCAATGTTGGTTTCACTTGCCATTTCGACGATGACCTAGCAATTGAAGAAAATTTTCAAAAATTGGAAAATAAACATCCAGAATGCATGCCAAATGAGTTCACTTTAACTCGTGAGTCTACATGAATACAATGAAAAATATTATATTGGTTTGCAGCTCTCGTCATCCGATAACAGGTGAAGTAAACCACTATTGCTGCTTTTGGTCGCCAATCTTGGGATGTTCGGCACTTATCGGAAGACAGCACTACGATAAAAAGCAAACTTTCTGCACTACCTGCGGAAGGTTTTGCTACGGGACGAAGCATAACTTTGATGTTGATACGAGCGGAAATAAAAAGGTGCTGCCATATGGATACCTCAATGCGCTGGTCCTGTCTGTACTGTGGAGAAGTTTATGAACCCAAAGAACTGTTATTATATGTTTTCGGAAATCCTGGAAACGTTCGATTTTTTTGCAATGTAATTATAAGCCTAATTTAGTAACGGAGATTGAAAACAAATTAATTAAACCAAAATGTTTCCTTAGATATTCTTTCTGATAATAATAGTGTTAAGATACTACCTTTCGGACCTAGGTACACAAAGTTAAATCTTTCAAAATTAACAAAAGAAACTTCACTAAGAATGTTGATACTTTTTTTATTTTTAATTTCAGTGCAGGGAGATAATCCTGGAAATATAAGTATGCACATTCTATCTTTTTGTAGTCAGTTATGGCTTTACCTAATTCTCTCCAAGAAAGCAACAACCAATATTCCAGGTTGTGAAGGCTGTTCGATGACATATATTAACCACGGCAATAGAACAGGTTATCAGTGTCATTATGAAGACGGCACTGCTGTTAGAACCAGATTCGGATCAACTGAATATGAGTACCCGGAATGCGTTCCAATGCAATATGAGCTAACTCGTAAGTCGGCAATGGAAAATACATCTTCTGGAAAACATTTAGATTCCCCAATTTTAGGAGATATAAAGAAGTATTGCTGTTTCTGGTCACCGGATTTGGGTTGCACGGCACTTGTTGGGGATACAACACCCGATGAAATTTCGAAAAGCTGCAATCGATGTCGGGACCTTTGCGAGTATCAACAGGTCGATGATATTGATGATGACAATAGTGCTAGGGATCCGAATTCTGAACATATCTCAATCATACTTCTGGCTCTACATTTTCTGTTTCGATTAGGGTTATTACCATGAACAGTTCTAGAATCATGTTGAATTTGAAATATGGAATGTTCAAGCTCAAAATGATGCTAGAACTTTTAACTTTGAAATCATTGACGTTACCCAAGTTGGCAGCGACACAGCTGTCAATATATAAAAACTACATTGAAATTGCTTTACGGAAAATGTTATTGCTGCTTCTATCTTTCTTCTCACACCACATCCACATAGTTACTTCGCAGACTGATAGTTATAATAATCACCTTAATCATAATCATAGTAAGTACTTATAATTTAAGTAATTGAAGGACTAATTGTAGTCCTTTTTTTTGAATACGCTAGCGCCAATTAGTGATTCATACGGTTGTGGAAATTGCTCGGGGGTAATTTACAGTGCCGGTGCTGGATTCCATTGCCATCCAGATGATAAGAATTCAGTTATAAGAAACAAATGTCAAATTGAAAGTCCGTACCCCAAATGCATGCCACGTTATTTCGACATAAAGTGTAAGTCGTTATTGCAAAAACCTGCTATTTAATGAGCATCTTTGACCATTTTCATAATAGATCCTATAAAAGAATTTTGCTGCTTCTGGAACTCAGATTTGGGATGTGGAATACTAGTTAATGAAAAGTATTTCGGTGATAAAGATATATGCCACAAACAGTGTCATTGTTTCTGCCACAGGACGATAAGTGGAGCGTGGAAAATAAAATTTAAACATGGCTTAGTAATACTTCTTTCGGTAATTTTCGTCGCTAGCAATGCTAGAATTAGTTCATAAGCATAATTCCAGTCCATAAATACATATTCCAAAAGATTCTTTGACTTTTGACTTCTTAACTGAACCCACTCAACTAACTCCAGCTAATCAAAAACTACTAGTTAAAGTAACTGTTTTGTCATCATTATTTGGGTTATCATTATGAACTGTGCCCAGAGTGGGGTAAATTTAATTAAAACAACAAACGCGCAATGGGCCAAAGAAAGCAGCCGTCGGTGGAAATTGTAAGTGGAAATAAGGGGAGAGCCTGATGTTATCGTGACAAGCCCAAATTAAGTAGCGCACGGGGTTACATCAGCCAGCTAGGGGATAAAACGGGCGGCGGATGGGGAATCGGGGATGGGCAATTCAATTTAAAGACCAAACCAAGGCAACCCGCGAACATGGCCCTGAGCTGGCCAAAAGATGAATGGCAACCGAGCCTGAGGCTCATTTAATAGACCAACCAACACCCAAGCCAAAAATTAAATAAAGGCGACATTCGGTAAGTAACACCATCGTACCCAAATTTAAATCAGTGCAAAATGAGTTTTTTTTTCGTTAAATATTTTTTGCTTAACGACAAGAAGTCACCGTAACGAAAAAGTAGGCAATGAAAAATGTTAATTAATAAATTAATTTTAAAATAAAATCAAAAGATCAAAGAGCAAATGAATAGATTTTTAATAAATTGAGATAGAACTTTTTCTTAAGAAGTTCAACAACAAATGTGCAGATAAGTAGCCTCACTTTTAATATCAATTTATACCTAATTATTATTAATTAATTAATTATAGGAAATGCTTTGAAAATTACAATTCGATACTAAACGATGGAAAATTATAAAATGTATACTGAATAGTTGGAATTCGGATATCTTAGTATTAAGACATTGTTTTTCCGGAGTAAAACATAAAAATGAAATAATGTAATTTCCGTTACTTAGAAAGTTCCACCGTATTATTCAAAATGCTCCCTTTGTGAAACTAATTTGATTTTGAAGATGCTTTTCCCATTCAGGGATTAACAGCGATTTCCACACTCACCCGTGGTTCCATTTTCCTGCTCGCTCAAATCGGCCAAAGATGCCGAAAGGGCCTCCGTCATCCTGGCAGCCGAGGACGTCATCGTCTTGGTCTGGATTGCATTTCCGCTGGCTTTCACAATCAGGTTCGTTGCATTCGTGCCGTTTTCCGTTTTCGCAGATTCCGCATTGTGATTTACCATGGCGAAAACCGGTGGCGGTTGGCGGGAATCGGGTGGCACTCCTTACAGCCGCCAGCTGCGCGTCCTGATTGCCTCACCCTGGCCCAAGGTCCCACTGATTTCCGCTTCCGGTGATCCAACACTTGTTGCTGACTTCCTTCCTTCCTGGCGGAAATGGAGGGAAATAACTAAAGCGAGGCGGAACAGAACGGAAAACGAAAATACTGGTTTAGTTCAAGGGCTATCCTTCCGAAAAATAATTTGTTTTCGTTTCATTATTTTAATTTTAATAATATTTTAAAGGTAATACCTTTAAAATTCTATCATATTTATTTGTGCAGAATACCTAATAAATTAACTGTAGTACTTGGGCATCTTTAAATGCAATACTATTTTTCTGGTTACTATTTTTGCCAATATGTTTTGAATTACCATACTAAGTAATTTAAAATCTTGCAAGATTTTCTTTTAACAATTTCTTACATCGCCGGTAGCAAAACTCAAAAGGAAGTTCAAGATGCAAGCAGTAGCTACAAGTGACAGCTTCGAATTTAGTTTCAATTTATGTTGTTAAATGTTGTTCTAAACCCAGCATTTCCTTACGCATTTCCACGTCGCTTCTCTTGGCAGGAGTAGCATGTGGATCTGTATGTAAATATGCTTTTCTTTTGTGGGCTTCGCTTTAAAAGTGTCTATGCAGCAATTAGAAAAGTTCCCAACCAACACACTTCAGAACGCAACAAAAGTAACTTTATCTTTGGCTCAGTGAAGATAACATTACACTTTGAGGAAAGTAAAGAATTGAATTTTATAAAATAATCAATTAAATTGTGGTTTATTTTTAAATAAAATATTTTAGTGGTGTCCCAATTTATACATTTTATTATGATATTTTTTAGTTTCATCCTAGAGTGATGGTGATAAAATGGGAGTAATGTTTTTAGGGAAATACATCTGCTAGTCTTCTAAGCACTGTGCAATAAATGTCAGTATGTCAAGCCGACTCAGTTGAAGTTCTCGCATATCCTTAAGGCATGCGACATGCGACACTTTCCTACCATCCTGTCCCTTTTTCCATTGAGAAAGTTTTTACCGCCTTTGTTTAGCTACCGAACTAACTACACTTTGGCTCCACCGTTGTTCATTCAAGTTGGTAAAACTTTCTGCTACTCAGAATTGCTCAACGTTTTTGTTTCTGAGTTTACGGTTGCAAGTTAAATTGTATCAGTTTTATTTGAAGTGGGGCGAACATAAATAAACTCCAGATTCAAAGAATCGACTGCTGAAGTAAATTTACTTTCAAAGAAATGTATCGTAAACTGTTTAATGTCTGTTTTCTTTCAATTGAAATCGCTTACAAATATGATAATGCAAATGCAGAGTAATGGCAAACAAAAGTCTAAGTATATTTATTATTATTGCATTTTTAATTGTGTTCATGGAAACGGATGATTTATTTTGCAGATGTAAGAAGATCATGAAAGGGTACTAGCAAATATATCTAAATTTTAGAAAATACTTTAAAGACTTCAACAAATATATATTTTCAAATAAATATTTTTACAAATAATTTAAGAGATACAAATTTTGTTTATATATCCCTGTTTATATTTCTAAATTATTTCCACATTTGTTGAACTTTATGTTTTCCTAAAAATGCTCTATTTTGAAGAGTCTGTTTCTTTGATTCCCAAGAAATTCTCATCTAATTTGGCCTTGCTCAAAGACCTCAGATGGAACATATAATAGCGCCGCTGATAAGCCTCAAGTCCAACTTAAATTCATTGTCATTTTCACCTCAGTCTCGCTTTTGTTGTGAACACTTGTGGAATTTCGCATTTGCAAAGGGGCAACTGGGGAAAGGCGACCACGCGTTTGACCTCTGTCCAGAACAGAGAAGCACACAAAGTGGCGGGGGCACTCGCTGAAACTACTCATAAATAAATATACGGAGATCCATTGTTGTTCAGCCGCATTTCGCTAGGTTTTGGATGGGTTCATTTCTTTTTTGAATTGTTTTGTTTGGCTTTGCTCGCCGGTTCGTGTGTTCGTCGCTTTTTGTTTTCTTTTTTATAAAGGGGGTTTGTTTACGCTCTACCATTGCCCAGAGGGGTGCTTCAGTTGGAAATGGAAATAAATAAACAGAACGTTTTGCAGGCTGCTTAAATTCATATAAAGATTAGGTTCAAGTTTGTTTATGATTTTCGCAAATATTCAATTGCAGTTTTTTCAACTCGATAGTACTTTTTGAGGTATTTTCACGTTTTTTTCTAAGTTTCTGGCTTTAAATTTGGGTTTTTCTGTTCACTAGTTTATTTTCTTATTTTAGAGATAGATAAGAAGTAAAATAGCTTAAAAATCAAATATAAAAATGTATTTTAATTACGAAAAAATTTGGGTTTTTCTGTTCACTAGTTTATTTTCTTATTTTAGAGATAGATAAGAAGTAAAATAGCTTAAAAATCAAATATAAAAATGTATTTTAATTACGAAAAAATTGAAAAAAAACATTTTTATTTCAAATATAATATATAAAATATAACTTTATTAGATAAGCTATTCTTCTTTTTGAAATTTTATTTTTCAACTCAGTAAACAAACTTTGCCCAAATGCTTATCCCAAGCGCCTTTAGCACCCTGCATCTAATTTGCTTGAGTAAACATTTTATAAATTATCTGCAGTTTAGCCATAAGCCATAAATATGGCTGTGCAATGTGCATTTCCTTGAAAATCTGCATTGCCATATTTTTATAGCTAGCCGGCGAACGTGGCGGATGAGCAATCTCATTCGCACTTGCTGATATTTCGCTCTCGTTCTCTGGAAAATGCACTGAAACCGAGGGCGTAGCTTTCTCGTCGGCCAATTATCATAATTTTTGCACTTAACCTATTATCATAATTATCATCTTTCATATTTCTGAGGCAACAGAAATGGGAAGAACGGAAACTCATAAATTTCCACCACCACCCCCCATTTTTTTTGTTTTTATGTGTGCTTTTCGTTTATTGCAGTTTTAAAAGTGCACAAATGTCTCGGGGGTGTCCGCTTCAGGTATATAAAAATACAAAATGTGTGTTAATATTTCAAATTTGGCAAATGTGACGTCGTCTGTTTGCTATCCGCGGGCATTTATCACCCAAACAAAAATTCCCCATATTACCATTCAAGCCCGCAGCTATATTATATTTGTTTTCCTCAATAAACATTTATATACAATAATACTTGCCCAAAGAACCTTGTGTTCTTTGAACGATGAGTGCGCTGTGTTTGCTGTTCGAGATTGATTAAAGTAGCCCCCAAC